TTTATATGTAAGAAAAACACATGAGTATCAAATTGACTAAAGTTCCTGATTATCCTGAATGTCCAGTAACCTCTGACCTTTCCATTTAAACTGTGTCAGGAAGGATAAACTTATATTGAGCAGTATAGTATGACCAAGACATGTCTTACAGCTGCAGCTGGTCCATGGGTACTGCACGCTGCCTGCCCACTACTCCCAATGCTTAAGATGGGTTAAATGCAGAGAATAAATCACTCTATGGGGCTCGGTAAAGGCTGCACTCCTCTCTTATCTTATTATCCTATAGGCCAGTATGACTGTTTTGCTCTGAAAAGGCAAAAAGTGAGCAGAATAGTAGGTCTTATTGTTCTCTCTTGTTTATATCTGTTACAGCACATTTCACCCCCTTTATTCACGCTCACGTGGCTCCAGCTGCATTTAGAGCTGAAGTTCAGCAAAGGACAGCGTACATACTGGAGTTTACTTCCATCCAATTAAAATGAATTAGCTAAGAGGCATGAAGGCAGTGTAATATATGACTGGCTCAGAGTAACTCAAAACACTTTGTCTCAAAAGTCATTCCTTTAATATTAAAGCCTGCCGTCCAAAATGAAGACGTATCTTCTTGGTCTGAAACGATTAGACGCTGCATTTTAAATCACTTTGCGCTCGGTGTTTTCTCTCTTCCGTCTCGTCCCATATTTCTCCTCTTTCATAATGTTGCTCTCTCTCTTTTTTCCTTTCTTTTCGCCCCTCGTGAGCTCACACTTCAGATGCTGTTTGAAGCTGACTGCTAATTGGTTGATTTTCATTGACATTAAATCCTGCCTCTAAGCCAAGTGAGAGTCGTGCATGAGCGTGTGGGCGTGTGTTTATAGATTCTCTGAAAGACAGAGCGACGGAGAGAATGGATGGAGGGGTTGATGAAAAAGGGAAATATTATGTAAGTCGAAGCTGCGTTTAGATTAATGTCTGCTTTTGTTTGGGGTGAAACGAAAAAGAGGGATGCAGGACGACAGACGGTGAGACAAAGATGCAGACAGAAAAGAAAGAGACAGAAGTGGTAATTTGGAAGAAGAAGAAGAAGAAAAAGGCGATTTATTCTAAAAGGTCTTCATCTTTGTACTTGTTAGTTTTACGACTGTCAGCAGATATTAACGAGTTCTTCAACCGAAGCAATAAAGCGACTAACTCTACAAATTGCTTGTGCTGTATTAATTCATAATTCACCACGGTCTACTTAAGGCCAGATGAGACAGCAGTAGAATAAAGACTTTTCATTGGTGTTTCTAATGTCCCTGCACAGCTGCACATGATTCATTCCTCTGATGGGTTTGTTTGCAGGTGAACGCAGCTTCAGTTTAAAGAGGACAGTTAAAAATGAAAGTGTCCATAATGAAGTGATTGGCTTTTGGCATCGATGCAGCTTTCTACTCAGTGTCAGCAGCGTGTTGTCTTTTAAATATGGCAGCGGCTGAAGCTTACGAAAGCGGCCAACTGTCACTTTCAGCATTGTTTACTGTGCTGATTGTTTTCTAGATCGGGGATGTCAAAGTCATTCATCGAGGTCCACACAGAGCCTGTTTTGAGCTTAAGTGGGTCAGACAGGTGGAAATCCCCTCTCTGTCACTTTGAAGATGTTTAACTACACATTTAATCCCTGAGATATCTCATTATAAGAAGTGCAGTTTCAACAGCTTGTCTCAGTTTTTCTAATAAAGAAATGCTGCTGTAGTTAGAGAATTCTGTCTATCAGTAAAGACAGATATTGTAAGAAATAGGGCTGGGCCATATCATACCGTTCATGGTAATACCGGTATAATGTTGGGCAACGACAAGAAAATGAAATATCGCGATAGAATATGGGTAAAACGCGCATGCACAGTGCCTTTGTTTTCATACGCACATGGCGAAAAAGACGAGGCGGCGACAGAGAATGAGAAGAGCGAAAGTGGATCGTTGAATGAAACGGATGAACCAGAACTGGTTTGTAAAAATGCTGCAACTTCAGTGGTGGAACTGGTTTGGCTTTCGTCCGTCAGATACACAACAAAGCACTATTTTTGGTAGAGCATGCTAGCGGGCCGTCGTTATTACCGTGTTGTTTGGAAAATACGGCACACTTAAAATCAATCCTTTGATTTTCTGAAAATCGACAGAGCCTGTTATAATCCCGTGTGCCTTATATATGAATTCTGGTTGTGTTTACTGACCTCGAAACGATTTTATGTACACGGCGCTCGAAAATCTGTCAAATGTTTTAGTACGACTTTGCTAAGCTATGAAGCCGCACCGCTTGATGGATTGTCGGAGCATTACGGCTCCGACAGTACGTATCTGTGCTTCAACATAATATTACCGTATTGTGTGTGTATAACCTCTTTTTAAGTTTTGTGGATATTACACATGGTTATGCTGAGGATATGTCGACCAGTTTCCACTGGAAATGCCTTTTGGTTAAACTGTCAGCAAGGAATTTGCACTGTTACATTTTTTATATAACTTTAATGCACATAAAAACTGCTGCTTGTTTAAGTGAAAATACATTGATTTTGTTTTGCACTAATAAAGTTGTGGAGTAAAGTATTTTGTCTAGTGTCAATTATATCGTCAGTTATATCGTTATCGCAAATTTTCAAATCTATATCGTGATAAATATTTTTGGTCATATCGCCCTGCTCTAGTAAGAAATGTATAAAATTATAAATGATTTCTGGCAGCACATCACCTCCACAGTTTTGGAATTATAAAGCAGAAAGTTTTTATTTATTCATTTATTTATTTATTTGACTCTACATTGTAAAAAAATAAAAAAACAAATTTTTATATCCGATATTTAAAAAAACAGGAACTTTCGTCGTATGATGGCTCTAGCAGTGGTCTTTATCAGCAGGAAAAGCTGTAAAATTTATGAAAATGTAATTAAAAGTCCAGTATTTTTGCCCTCCTTTACAAAGGGACCATTTCCAAAGATGGACATAGGCCGGACTGGAGTCTTTTCACGGCCACCGTATTTTGACACCATTGTTCTAGATGAATTGTTTGGTTTTTAACAATCGTAAAAAATGTCCTTAATCAAATTTCGTGTTCTCTTTTCTATTTGTGAAACTTGAATATGTTTAACTGAGGCAAGGATTGCTGTAGTCAAAGACGATTTCATTTCCACTTGCAGTCATTTGGACACAAACACGCGTGCGTACGGGTGAGGAAGACCCCTCACAGACCAGAGCAGTAACACGAGATTTGACATGGATTGAGTGAAGCACTCTGTGGAAGGTGGTGCTGGATTGCAAAGCCGCTTGTGGATGTGCAGCAACTCTAGGCGGGCTAAAGAAGCTTAAATATTGCAATCCTATATGAGATCATCAGTAGGTCGAGCCATCAGCCGGCATAACTGTTGCCCATTTAGTTTGTTTAAAACCCCTGTACATTATCAAAACAGAGAGTATGAAGAGATTACAAGTTCCAGCAACAGTGCAGTGGCCACAGTGAGGTCCATCCACCAGTTTTCCATCTTAACCATGTAAGAAATCCAGGGAGTTGGAGACGATCCCGCTCTCAACAACATGTGAATCAATATCAGATAACTAGCTAACATAAGCTAATCAGGCCTCACTATTCATTTAAAAGTGAAGGGTTTCTTGTCCTTGACCTGCCGATTGATAGAATTATTGCCCCATCTGGGTAAAAAACCTCTTAACCAGCTCTACTTTTATACACTTCCATCCTGCCGGGGGTGTCAGCGATGTATCACTTATCACTCTGCAGGTGATGTGTGACACATCTCTGGCAGAGAGTTGAATGATTGAAATGCTGCGTCTTGCGCTATAAATCATTTCTAAGTTCTTCTTTTGAGACGTGATCTAAATATTTATTGGCTGACCTGCACTTGCGTGGTGGTGTGACCGGCATGTTGTAATGCTGCAGGTTTTATTTGTTTGCTTGGCTTTTTTTCCCTTCCAAGAGTTTGTGCTTCTCACCTAATTGACATCTGTGAGTCGGGGCTACAAGAGTACAAGCTCTGATTTAATTTTAATCTTGTGGCTCTAACGCTGCATGGGAAAGGTGGCTCTCCTGTGAGTGGGTTAAAGAAAGAGGATGTGGATTACTGGGTGGCTCCCATGTGGGAAAGATTAAAAAGGAGGTTGCTTTGTATTTTGCTCACGTCATTGAAGAGATTCTCATGGATACAACTTGCCTCAACCCAACGGGGAAGTCAAGATGATAAATAATAGCTGCAAATTAGACACTAATGACTGAACTCTTATTGATCACTGCTAAGACAATTGCACAGCTGAATAAGTAGATGCACGTGCCCTCTTTTTGTATTCGCCTGTAACGAACATCAGATGATCACAAGATCCAGAAAATATTCTAAATTCACCTTTACAGTAAAATAATAGCATCTGCAAAGAATGAACAACCAGAAACCTGTTTCTCTGCACTCTTACTGAGTACAAACAGAGCTCAGTATTGTTTAGGTGTATCATAAAGCATAGACAGTAAGGATCTCAGGAATTTACTGAAAAGAGAGACTTAAGAAGTAGATCAAAAGGAGATTTTCACAAGAGAAATCCAGAGTGGCCCAGAAAGGATTTGACGCTCTGGTTTGAAGGATTATAGAAACTGGATGTTTTGAAGAGATGGCCTTTTAAGTGTAAATGACAGTTCACGTGTCTTTTCCTCATTCAGTAGCCCTGCGTCACGCTCAAACGCTGCCATGACTCCACATTGTGGCAGAAATTGGATTTTCAATAGAGTTGCTTTTAAATCGCCTCATTTTTTTAGAGACTTTAAGTTTATATCAGAGGAAAACGGGCAAAAGGCATTTTCATATTGAAAACATGCATTGAGAGTTTGTCTCACAAAGACATTTTAGACATGGAAGAATGTAGAATAAATCTCTAGTTTCATGGTCCAGCACTAATCAACTTGTCCTATTATCCTTCCCGTTCTTCTCATCCGTCTTTTCATCCAATCTCGTTCCTTTTCTTCCTCTCTCTCTTTCTTCCCGTCTCCAGAAAATGAGCCAGGAGTTTGAGATTAAACGGCTGTCATTAGAGGAGCAGAGAGATCGCCTCCAGCAGCAACTCGACAACTTGAAAGAGGAGCTTTCGGCCAAACTCAACATGGCCAATCAGGAAGTATGAGTCAGCTCTTACTGGAGCGCTAACGCGTGACCAGCATGACCTGATTGTCTCCATGTATACCGACACGTCTCAATCAACTGAGTGGTTGTCTCCTCAGGTGTCCCACCTTCAGGAGCAGGTGAGAGAGGGGGGGCAGAACCTGAGTTCAGCTCAGATGCAGATTACCTGTCTGAAGGAAACTCAGGAGAAGCTCAAGATAGAGCTAGACGCGACTCGAGCCCGTGTCCGAGAGACGAGCAACCTGCTGACTGACCTACAGGTGAGGAGAAAACAAAGACAGTACTGAGGTTTGGAGAACCTGAAATGAGGGTCCTCCTGCTTTAACAATAAAATAAAGTCTTACTGAGGATAATCACTTCAATATCAATATCACATTTGTTTCTATAGCACATTTAAAAGCAACAAAGTTGACCCTAGCCAGTGTAAATTTGCTAAAACTGGAGTGATGTGTTCATACATTCACACCTGTTAGAAGACGCGCAGCAGCACTTTAGATTAACTGATGGAGATATGAGTGCTGAAGGAGGAAGATAAGGCTGAGCTTTGGCAATTTCACGTAACTGATAAAAAAGTGTTTTTCACAACTGTGGACACTTGCTTCTCTAATTTAAGAGCTTTCTAAAAACACTCTGAGATTTCTTACAGTGTGGGAATGATGACGAGCAAGAGGACCAAAGGTATCAGTTAACTTATCCAAAAGGGGCGTGTCTTCCAAAAACAATAACTTCAGTCTTATTGTTTAGGGTGAGAAAATGTTGTGTTAACTGGTCTTTAACATCATGTAGACCAGTGGTTCCCAAACTTTTTTTGCTGGGCCCCCCTTGTTTTACAAGAAAAATGTTCGCGCTCCCTCTCGCGCGCGCACGCACTAACACATCCTCCAACCACACACGCCCATATTTTGCTCCATTGCGGTTTATTTCACACCTCAAACATTTAGTAAACAATTAAGCAAATACAAGTAATCTGCAATAAATTACAGGTAGTAATAAAACTACTAACTCTTTAAGCTGCGTCCGCACCTACACGGGTGTTTTTGAAAACGCAGCTGTTTCGTCCACGTAAACGGCGTTTCGAATCACCGAAAGCGGAGATTAAAACTCCTTTTTTGCGTTTACGTGTGGACGAGGAATACAGGGTTCGTCACACAACGTCAAAGGTATGTGCCTTTTTTCACGCCACGCTGTGTGCACGTTATTGTTTACATGAGATGAATTGCAGAATGGCAGATAGAGACAAAATACTGTTAATCTGACTGTCTGCAGGTTTTACACGCAGTTACTGTCCCTCCATTTACAAAGGCAGAGGCGTCACGGTGTAATTATTTTACATGTAGTTGGTTTTTTTTCCTGTGTAATAATATTCAACATTGCTATCAATACATTTGTCAAAAAATGCCTCTCTGTGCAAAATCGGTTCAAAAACATAAACA